CCTTGTTGTGCGGCCTATGTAGCTTGTTTCACAGAAACAAACAAAACGGTAAACACAGATCATATATAGTCATTAGCTCTTTATAAACGTTATGTAGACGACATTATCTGCTTGGCAGATGAATCAAAGCATTGAACCTCCCGTGGCCATGCATCAATAACCCGGATCGATCTGTTACGTAGGAGCACCTATCTGCCAAAACACTTGATGAGTCTGACTAACTTGACATTAATAATTACCATCCCACACCCTATTGATGTACTACCCATGTCGAACCCATATAAATGTGTTGTATTTAGCCTGATGATGGAACATTGAAAACGAGCTTGTTTGCTACGCGCTTCTTCTCATGACTAAACCGGCATATTCAAGCTACCTATATTGATATTAGTAGAAAAGTTTCAACCCACGAAGTTGTTCTTTGGGTTATTGCTCCTTCTTTTTTATTTTTCGGTTTACTAAACCTGCCTGTACCTTGGTTTCGATACCCGACCCACGAGCTAGGTCATACGAGTAAGTGGAGTGTAATAATCAGGTGAACTATGACCATAAGATTGTTCGTACATCTAGTTCTGTTAAAAGTAGCTTATCTGGTGTTTCAGCCAAACTATATTGCTCCCTAATCCTATGCATTTGGACTACAAATAAGTAGTTTGGTGGATTTATGATTTTAAATGAGACATAATTGTGAAAAATCAGGGTTCCGGCTGGATCCGAACCAGCAACAAAAAACAAAATGCCTCAACGTGGCAAATGCTCTACCAGCTGAGCTACGAAACCACGCCAGGAGCTCGGAAGTTTCACATTTGGACTCGGTTACTCACCCGTCCCACTGTTTCACAGGGAATCCACCAAATGATCCAAGGGATTAACTGCCCCAGCAGGATTTCTCGAACAGTGCACGATGAAATCCATCAATGCCACTGTTGACCATAGAATTTATATTATTAACAAGTCCAAGTTATAAGTCCTATTGTGAAGTTTTCGAGCTCCTCACATTGCTTTGTTGTTCAACTGGTAGATTGATTGCCGCATTAAGGCATTGTGTTTCTCTCGCTGGTTCGAATCCAGTCGTAGCTCTAACTTCTGACAATTGGGTCTCATCCAAAATTATGCATTCGGGTTGGCCTTCGATCTGTTAATCCACTATATACAAACATCTTACCGTATCCTTCCAAATCCATCTGTTCTCTAGCATCCAGTAATAATAACCTGGTTCTGTTTCTCATATTTCCCACCATGCGAACGTCCTCTAGTGAACCCCTAATTGATACTCACTAAAGGAACTTCCTCACATTAAACTACTCGAAGCAGTGAATACATTCTTTCCAAATCTTGACATCCTTGCATACAGCTTTATTTACACTCACGGTCTTCCTCTTCTTCAACTTTCAGTTTATATCGCGCGTGCATATTTATTCGTCCCAACGTTCTCTGCTTTCAGTGCGGTAGCTAATGTTTTGTCAACCATTAAATAAACGTACACAGTGAAGAAGATGCCTCTCTGTGAATGACCAACATGGCCTTTTAGGATTACAGCTTGCTGGTATCGCGTCTCAAATTAGGGATAAAATAATGTATCATCTTTCTCTGTCACTTTTGGTGAACCCCTGTTCACCCAGCAAGTTTGTTGACTTTGTGTCAATAATCGAGCGTCAATTGTTTACATTGGCCACTTTGCTATCTTACGACACCAAACTTATACTACCGTGATCAGTCGAGTGAGCTGAGTTGTCGTTTTAGCGAACGGTTACACGGACATACCACAGCCAGTGGCCACGAGGACTGGGTGATGATTACCAAGTTTCAATTGGACAATTCAAAAGACTAGATTACAAGCCTTTAACTCCTCCAAAACATGCGAAAGATATGGATATTGTGTTGTTTTCCGAGCGGAAACTTAAGGCAAAAAAAGAAAATCAGTTAAAAAATAGCAGGTATAAGGTGAATTAACAGGAACCTACTAAAAAGTGTTAGGCAGTTTGCAACAGCTTGAATGCTATCGTATCCCCACGTATTTTCAGAATCGATTCAGGCTGTTTTCAGCACATTGCGGCAGGAAGACCCCTAGTAAGGCACAGTTTTTATTGTCCAACACGCTAGTTGCCATGTCACGCGCGTGCTCACGTTTATCAACTGCAATTCCGATCCAAAACACACCTTCGGTTTCCGCTTACAGGTCGCGTGCACTTGTGCCCGGTTTGTATGCGACCGACACCTTTTGTCGAGGGGTTTTCTGCTTGTCATTCTTTGTCTGTTGGTACGGTCTCGTTGAGTCATGGCTCGTCCGGCCAGCCGAATTGTCCGCGATCCGGTCGCTACTGGTTTGTGGACGTGCTTTGCAGCTACCTTGAGGTATTTTGTCCAGTGTTTGAATTCTCCCCTTTTCGGATTGGCAATCCACAGCCAACTGGGAAACACAGAAGACAGCGGCTGTCGAGGGGTACACGACACTGTGGTTGACGTTTGTTGCAGTAAATCCGAGTGATATAAAATGATGTGTCCCTGTTTAAGCTCTATAAACAAGATGGTAAATCTCAAATTTAGGAAAGAAGTGTGACTGATTTGGACCATCTACCGAAATTATCTGTTGTTCAAGACATCAGCCAACTTACTCAGTATTATGGTGTTATTCGGAAAATGAGAGAAGTGAACTGATAAACGTGAAAAATATGACTGATGTGGTGTATCACATGTGTTTCGCGTACTTGGGGACTTGGATGACCGAACCTTGCAAGGAAGAACACACCAGACGTCTATCAGAGGCTGAAGTGTATTTTGACGTGGAAAGTCTGTCAAACGTTACTTCTGCTTACAACATGCTAATTCGATTGAGCACTTCCTAGTGTCCTAATGGTAACAACGACCAAAATATTGGAACTTATCCTAAGAGGTTTACAAAATACTCTGTCTCGAATGCATGTCCCGGATTCCGTGTGACCAAGGAAGAACGTAGTAGAAGATGATATTTGTATCAGCAGTTCAGTTACTAAGTATCAAACACAGATTGGTGGAACAAGCAACCTCCGGAACATCAGCTTACGCTTGGAAAGTTTGTCTCTTGATTTGAACAACTGCACCAGAGGGAAGCATTGTTATCGGACAGCTTGACTGTGTACCTGCCTATGGATGAAATACTAGCAACACATGTTAACTTCTGAGTCACTCCACACAGAATCAGTAAAACATATAAGGCTCTCAATCAAACCTTGACATATATCTGGGCGGTATTTTGACACTGATCTTCCTGACATCCACAGCACCAGGAGATACGTGAGATCAAACAAAAGACCAAAACCGGTGTTGGAAGTCGAGTTTTTGTAGCGCGTTTATTAACAAAACTTCATCATTTGTTTAAGGAATACCCTCAACAGATGCGATGGTGTTTGGATAGTGTGGAAGGAAAAAGACGGAAGACCATTCCATTAAAAAATCACAGATGAAGAGAAAACAGATCTGCACCAAAATACGTGTGACTTGATTCAGGTATTAAACGCCTGGACACACCAACCTCGAATCGAAACAGCTAGGTAGCAACCAACAAAAAGTCAGCATCTGAAGTTAGGTTTCCTTTCCGCTGCTGCCTAGCCTTAAATGTTGTATCTTTTACACGGACGTTATTCTCATGCAACATTCACTCTAGTGAACTTTAATGGTAGCAATTGTACCTAGAACCCTTAATAGGACTTCAGTCTGAGAGGTCAACGTTTTCTATGTTGACCTGGGTCTTACATTTTACTCCGAATCAGCTCATTGTAAACGGAAGGCAGTATGTGATTTGGTCTCATTGTGGACTATGTGTGACGTTGATCGATATTAGTTACTATCCAACTACTAACTGCACTAGTCCTTTGTGGAAACAAACTGACAGTTTAGTACAGTCATTATGATGCCCGTAAGTTTATGTAAACTTCTTGTAGGCCGCACAGTTTTCATACACCATTCCGGATTTTTCATTCAGATAAATTACGTTTTTTCTTCCGCAGAGTACTACCTGAGCTCGAGTCCCCCCCAGTTGAAAACTACCTGATAGTTGTAAGAGAACATCCCCATTGAATACTGTACGATAGCAGTTATGAGAACTGAGCCTTGTGTTCAGCAAGTGAGGTGTTACATTCCCCCCGCGTTCAAAATGAATATCATGTGGTAGTGGTAGAGTAGCAGTGTGTTAAAAAAACCGTAGACCATAGACTTTCTCATCATTCAGAGCCAAAGTGGTATCTATACAATAAGCAACCTCTGTACCATAAGATCAGTCTATTAGTCATCACCGGAAACTGAGTATTATTCGCACAACTTATTAAACTCAAGTTCGGTTCTTATTGCGTGGCGCTGGCATATGTATACGCCTGCATACTGAATAATTTTCTGAAATTAAATCCATACATATTTAGATTATTTGATCGCAATTTACTAGCCATCAATCTCTCACCTGAACAAACAGCTACGTTGTGACGGGCGGTATCAATTCACGGATGAATCCAGCATACAGTTAATGGCGCCTGCGTGAAAGTGTCTTCCTTTCGATGTGCGTACATTGACTAGGTCCGATAGAGTCATCTGAAACCGGGAACAAACAATATAATTATGTCCAAAAATTAGCCAGAACTGACTTCGGCATATTTAAAATAAGCCGTACCAGCAAAACTTCAACACAATCACTGTCCATCACGCAACAGTTTGAAAAGAACGAGCGCAATTCAAATTGACTTTGGATGCCCAAACAAACAATTGAAAGCAAATTTTGGTTAAACTTCTCACAGAAAAGTGAGCTTTGTTCTGGGACCTTGATTGATGTGTTTCCGACTGCAGTTCGGATTTGCCGTGAATACCTACTCCGTTTTAAAAATGTACCAGATTACCCAAACAAACCTCCGATTTTGTGACAAATCTCATAAGAACTTAAGTTTTATTGGATTTGGTTAAGAAGCGAAGTAGTGAAAATAATGTTACAAAACTGTTTCAGACAACAAACTGAGTTACATTGTTACACGGGTGTAGGGGACGTTACGGCAACAGATTTCTAAGAAAAGATGTGGTAGCGTTTATAAAATACCCTACTGTTCCCTGAAAAAGCGAATAATGTTTTGCAAAATATTTCCAACCTCATTACTTTCCACGAATATGTGAGGATTTGGACAGACTATTTCTTGAACACGATAATCCAGGGAGAGCTAAACGTGAAAAACCGAACGTTGCAGTAATCCCCACAATTATACAGATGGAAAAACCGGGTGATCTAGTTCGATTCCGGCGTGACGTGCACTTTCCCCTGAGCCCTTGGGTTCAGCATCACTTGCCGTACATCTGCAACGAAAAACTGTAATACCGTCTCGGAATAGAATTGCCCATTCCAGACTATCTTTCAGTAATCCATAAATCAGGTGGACACAATTGTACTGCTAAGTACCTGACAAAAATCCTTGTGATCTTGATTGAATGTTCCCCCGGAATCAGTGCTTGCGGTAGTGTGCCTTGCTGTAATCCACATTTTGAGAAACTGCTGGCCGCAGTTTCGATGATATCTTTAGTCGAAATAAAACTCAATGTTTCATCCTCTAATTTGAAACTATAAGCTCGTTAAAAATTTTACTTCAGAATAGCTGGCATACATGATAGGTTGTTGCTGTTTCCCGTATATTACTGGCAGTATAGACAGTTTCAACGTCATTAATGTAACACCAGGTTTTATCTTTAGTACAACGTATAATCTTTCCGGACGTATTTTCTGTGAGGTGGCTTCATTAGGATATGGGTGTGAACTGAAGTAAATGTTCCTT